CATTTAGCTCACAGTCTGTGGAGGTTTCAGCCCATAATCAGCCGGCTGCAAGGCAGGTGGCACATGGCAGAAGGGTAACAGTTTATTGAGGCAGAGGGGGAGGAAGACAGCAAAAGCAACAAGAGAGGAGGGAGGGAAAACAAGCCTCTTTCTGCTCCTTTTGTCTTATCCAGACTGCTGGGATCAGGGTGGGATCAGGGTGGTGCCAATCCAATCAGTGGACTGATGCAGCATTCACCCACCCTTAATCCTAGCACCCTAATCCCAGCATTCACTTTGAATCAATCACACAGTCTAGATTCAGCTGCCTCCCCAAAGCCCCCTGCCCTATGACTGCATAAGGGGGACATCTATATACAAACTATAACAATCATTAGTTGCCCAGCCTGGACTTGAATTTGGGATTGTCCTGCCTCAGCTTCCCAGTGTGCTGGGATTATAGGTGTACGCCATCACACCTGGCTAAGAATTAAATATTATTATAGTAGATTGCAGGTCTATTAAAATTGACTGATAAAAATCATGTTAGTAGCTACCTTATGTTAATGTGATATAACTTTCTAAACCATACTTTATTTTGCTAAAGTTTCTTTGGCTTTTTTCTTAAATCAGAGACTTCCTTTATCAAAAAAAGGATAAAATTATGCCAGTTGTTTCTTCTGCAGGGATGTTTAACAACTATGTTTATACTTTGTGCATGAGCAAAAATTCAGAACATGTTCTTCTGTGGGTTGGATCCTTAATTTCTTTTTGAAAACGTCTGGTTTAAAACAAAATCATGGGGCACTGTATTACATGTAGTGTTTCCAACACAATTTTGAGGTTGCCTAACTGGTATTTTTTTGTTGCTTCTACAAGATCAAGAGTTCTCAAAGGCAGATGCCATAACTCACTAAGCCTCTAATAATGTACTGACTTATGGGTGAGATCCGCGGAGGAGAAATTTCACAGAGGATCACATTATTGCCTTTGAGCCTTAATTTCCCTTTGAGCCTTAATTTCCACATCTGTAAAAGGGACATGATTAAAACAGCTGCATAGGGTTGCCAAAGCAGCCAACTAAATAATGTGAATAAAGTTCCTCTCACATCATGCACAGTGATTGTTCTTAGCAATGACCACTAAGAATTATGACTAGTTTTAAAAAAATTTCCAACACTGTAAAGTTTTTGCTCTGATAGGTCCATGTCTGCGGATTATATTGTCAGGGGAGGTGGTACACGTGTAACACCGCTTCATTCTGTTTTCCACTCCTATCCACCCCCGGCCCCAGAGATTGCTGTAATGACAGCAATGGCGTCGAAGTAGGCGATGTAGGGCTCGGTGCCTTGGGTCTGACCAGCTGTGGGGCGGCACGTGTCTTCGCTTTGCTGCTGCAGCAGGATGAGTGTATGAGTGACACGGTACATCGTAAATGCAAGATTGTAGCGTGGGCATCGTAAACAAGGTTTTTTCATGGTGTGGCAAGGAGCGCAGACCGGAGACCACAACTTAGAGCAGCCCGGGTCTCAGTGTGCTGTTGCTGGGCTCTACTGCTGAATGCCCAGGGGCATAAACAACTCCTACCGGTTCTCGTGTGTGTGTGTGTGTGTGTGTGTGTGTGTGTGTGTGTACAAGAGGGAGGGAGGAGGAAGGACAGGGAGACTTTTAGATAAACTCAGCGTCCAGCAGTGAACAGCTGCACTTCTGACGTGGTTCCTTGCAGCATTCAAGGGCGTCAGGCGCACTGCTGGCTTCTCCCTGTGAACACTGTATACCGCGGTAGCGAACCTGCGCATGCGTGCTGCAGCGGGCAAGCAGAGCCCTCTCTGTCCACACGCAAGCCCAGCCGCCCTCGCAGCTGGGCATCAGATATTCAGGTTTCACTGGCGCTTTGTGAGAAATAAGTGGGTTTGGGGTTGCAGTTTGGGCCCTCGTCTGTAGAAGTTTCGCCATCACTACTCTGCATTTTCTTGTGCCTTCTAGCTGTGCACCGCTTATTTGATCCTCTGTGAAATTTCTCCTCCGCGGATCTCACCCCTAAGTCAGTACAGTCTTTAGGTAATTGTCTCTGTAAATGCCCCACACCTGGCAGTCTCTTTTCTGACAGTGTGAAAATGCTCTCTGGGGCCAGTTTTCCTCTTTTGGGATCTATGATTATATGACTGCCTGCTGAAAGAGATGAAGCGCTCTTTGTAGACATTAGGGATTGCTTACTGACTTAGGAGCTACTTGCCCAAGTACAGCTGGTACCCATGAGCATACGGAGTAAATGTTATGTCAGGCATAGTTTAACTGTGTCAAACAGCACTCAATTCCAAATACAATTCCACTTGAAAGGAATTTTTCTGCCATGTTTTAAAGTGTTCTTTGGCTTTCTATGTATTCCTCCCAGTATTTTGTCGTGGTAGTTTTTAACATGCAGCACAGTTGAAAGACTTTCTAGTGAAAACCTTTCCAGCCGCCATCGAAGTTCTGCTGTTAATGTTTTGCAGGAGGCTGGCAGTGTAGCTCGGTACAGCACTTGTCTAGCATGCATGAGGCTCTGTTTCCATCCCCAGTACAAGAAAAAAAATTAAAAATATAATCAGTTTATCACCTATGTCTCTGTTTATCCATACTATGAAATCCGTAATTTTCATTAAATGTTGTAATTGTGATTATAATATAAAGTTTATGTACTGCTTTTTCAGTAAATGTTAAGATAAAAAAATATTTCCCCAAGTTGTTACAAATTACTCATAGACATTTAAATTATTTAAAAATACTTCATCAAGGGGCTGGGGATTTAGCTCAGTGGCAAAAGCGCCTGCCTGGCAAGCGCAAGGTCGTGAGTTCGGTTCCTGTTACCGGAGAAAAACCAAAAACCCAAAAAAAAAAAAAAAAAAAAACTTCGTCAAATATTTTACTTAATATATCTCATCATACTAGAGGTAACTTGAAGATTCTGCGTGTTAATTTTTTTAATACTCAGATATATCTGTGTGCTAACTTCTGTTTTTAAGATTTTATTTTATTTTCTCTGCTATGGATTGAACCCAGGTGTGTTACTGCTGAGCTACATCCCTAGCTCAAGATTTTTTGTTTTTTGTCTCTTTTTTTTCTTATGAGACAGGGTCTTGCTCTGTAGGCCAGGCTGGCCTTGAACTTGTGATCCTTCTGCCTCAGCCTCCTGAGTGTTGGCATTACAGATATGTGCTGCTATGCCTGGCTCCAAGGTTTTATTCTTAAAGTATAGATTCCCAGAGGTAGAAATGTAGAGTAAATATATGAACATTTTTAAGCATTTTGACACTTGTTTGCAAAGCAGAACCAGCATATTGGAATACTTGCTGGGCCCATGTTTAAACAATATGAGAAGTTCCGATGAACGGGGGGCTTTGGGAAAGGCCGGACCCTTGGCAGGTCTTTGTGGGGAGCAGAAGCTTGGCTCATGGTGTGAAAAAGCTGTCTGTGGGTCAAGGCTGAGAGGAGAGGTTGATGGTGATTAAGAGACTCAAGTCCTCTTCTCTCTTTACTACAAACTTACAGCAAACTTACAAGTACAGGACAAAAACTCTTCCTTTCTCTCTTCTTTCTTTCTTTCTTTCTTTCTTTCTTTCTTTCTTTCTTTCTTTCTTTCTTTCTTTCTTTCTTTCTTTTTCTTTCTTTCTTTCTCTTTCCCTCCTTCCCTTCCTTCCTTCCTTTCTTTTTTTCTTGCTTGCTTTTGGTTTGAGACAGGGTCTTACTCTGTAGCTCAGGCTGGCCTTGAACTTGTAGCCATTTACCTGCCTCAGCCTCCCGGATTCTGGGATTACGGGTGTGCGCCACTACACCCAGCTTAGACTTGGGTTCTATATCAAAGAAATCTCACTGTGTATGTACAAATACTCTAAAATCTGAAAAAAAATTAAAATCTCAAATATGCTGTGTCCAGGCATTTCGGGTAAAGGACTCTCACTTAGCCTGTGTGTGTCCGCTGGCATCTGCAACTCTAGTTCCGTGGTTGTCTCAGCGCTGTGGCCGCTCCTCCCTGCCCAGCCCATGCACATCCGTGCCCACCCCCACATGGGCCCCGTATGCCCTGCCCACCTTGCAAGAGCTTTGCTCCCAGTCCCAGGTCACCCCCGTGCACCCTACTTCCCTTCGGTGGGCCTGGTCTCTCCCTTTCTGCTAGGCCTGTCCATTCCTGGGAAAAGGAATGGCTCTTACCTGCTGCTAAGAGCCCAGTGGATTTAGCCAAGAAACCAGACCTTGAGATTCATTCAGAAAAGTCACAGGAGCTTCTATTAGTTCCGCCTTGACCTGGGAGGAAAGGAGAGGCTGGAGCTTCCTCCCTGGGCTTTGGTCTTCCCTTTTACCCAAGGTTCTTCACTTACGTCCTAGATGCCACTGCTGGGGCAGGTCCAGTGGGAGTGTGTCCTCCTGGAGAGGCTGTCCCCACAGGTAGCACACAGGTCGCAGGCAACTGCCCTGAAGCAGAGCTCCGCCTACTCTTTCTAGCCCACTGGAGGGGGCTCCCAAGGGTGTGTTGATGCATGGCAGGATAGGTGCCTTCCTCCCAGCCAGTGAGCGTGGCTGCCTCACGGAGCTGTAATTCTTTTCCTTTGTGGGTTGGGAAGGGACGATGGGACCCTGATATCATAGCTGGGAGCAGGGGGGCCTGGTGGAGGGGCAGAGAGAGCTGGTGGCTGCGGGACCTAGTGGGCGTGGCAGACCATTTCCTGGCAAGGCTGTGGCAGGATTTTCTCCCACTGTGTCCCGTCCGCCGTGGGGAGGCAGGCGTGCCCCAACTCACGGCTCCCTGGGTGGGGAGAGGGCAGGGGACAGCTGCAAACCTGGTGCAGTGGACAAGCTGTTGAAACACACCTCTGTTGCCTCGATGAGTGAGACTGAGTATCTTACTGTTTTACGTTAACACCGGAAGTACGCGTATGACACGGACACACGTTATTTTGGAAGTTCGTTTACCTGCTGCCGTTCTCCTCAGCCTCTGAGTGCTGGCTCACTTACGATGAGTTTTTAAACCTTGTCATTGACAGCGACCACAATGTTTGAAGCTGGAAAGGACAAAGGAAATCCCGATGAATTTGCTGTCGCACTTGACGAGACTCTTGGAGACTTTGCGTTCCCAGATGAGTTTGTCTTTGACGTTTGGGGAGCTGTTGGCGACGCCAGGCAAGAGTGATTTTGACGCGGATGATCCCGCTCTGAAGAAAGGAACCGTTGTTCTTAAAAAAAGGAGCACAACTCCTTAACTCTAATGTAATTTTATGAGTATGGAATATGTTCTTTGAAATATAATTTTGATTTCTGGATGTTTTTATGATAAAGATAAGTAACCTAAAATATGATCTGTTTTAACCTTCATTCAAAAGCTTTTTCAAGGAAGTTTAAAGGAATATTCCCACATGGATGATTTTGCCCCCCATTAATACACCTAGCTTTGTTTTCCACAGTAAGTAATTGATCGCAATAACTTTGTAATTTTTTTGCTACTTTTTAAAAAAATCTTAATGTAATAAACATTTGGATTGGAATATGATATATCTCATAACATCTTAATTTTGTTATATTAGCTTGAGTAGAATATGCACAGAAAAAGAAACGTGATTTACACTTTTAAAAAAAAATTTTTTTTTATCCATTGAGTAAGGGAAGGAAGATTCCTTTGGCTTGTTTTTTTACATGACATACATTCTCTGTCAAAAAAATTGATTTTTTTTTTGCGTCTTTGTGATTGCTCTTAGAACTTGTAGTTGGAATCTGTTATGTGTGTATGTGTAATTGCATATGTGCATGCATGTGTATGTGTGTGTGTGTGTGTGTCGGTATAAAAAAGATATAATTAGGGAGGACCATTTGTGGGGTTTTTTTGCACCTCTTAAAATATTATTTCTTTTTTCATTCATGGCTACTTTTATGTTACCCTTTATAAACATTCCAGGGAAGATTTGTACTCTTTGTAGTATTTTTCTTGTGAAAGAGATTTACTTTTGAAAGATATTTTGGAAGATATTTTCTTTTGAAAGAAAATAACTATGTTTGAAGTTTTTTTTTTGGGGGGGCTTAAGCAGTAATCCTTTTCAGCTTTCTAAACTTTAGAGGACATATTATCAGGAATAGATTTCCCCCCCAGTGGAAATACAGGAGGAAAGGAGAGTGAGAAAATGTATTAGTCTATTATTTTAGAGTTCTAACACACTACCTCTAAACCTTACATTATCAAGAAAATTGAGGATAAATGACAGTCTTATCACTCTGATTTGACATTTTACTGATGCAAGAGAGATAGAAATGAGTGGTTTCAACATAGACAGTTTAAGAAAGCAAAGCATGGTGTGACCAAGCATTCTTCTAAAGTGTTAGATGAAAAACGCTATGTGCTGCCACGGTAATCAGAAATAATAACCTGTAAGAGACACATTCTAGGAAATCAGAAAGAGTGCCCTTTTCCTGCTGGGTTATTGCTTAGATAGTTCTGTTTTGTGGTAAAACTTTACTTTTACTGCTATCCACTCCCATGTAAAGTAAGCTTAACCGATAGTCTTTGTTCGAAGCGGTCATTAATGTGCAACAAAATACCTTGTAGAATATGGGTGGTTTTATTGTTCGTGCCCACCATTTGAAAATAGGATCCAGCTCAGCTGTACTTTGTTGGTACTTGTTGGTGTTTTTTTTAAAGGATATTTCAGAATACCTGTTAAATGTTAATATCGCCTCTCTTAGGCATAAAAACAGAGCTGATGTTTTTAGGAATGGAAAATTATTGGATGATTTAGGAGGCCCATAGAAATATTTCAGTTGAGGAAACAATGAAAATATAAAAATTTTGCCTTAAGATTCAAAATGTTCCACTGTTTTTATTATTAAATAATTTCTTTGGAGACAAGCTCTTGCTATGTTGGTCTTGAACTCGCAGGCTTAAGTGATTCTCCTACTTCAGTCTCCCAAGGAGCTGGGATGACAGCTGTACACCTCCATGCCCTGCTCATTTATTATTATTGATGGATGTCACTTTCTCCTTTAGTAGGGGGCATGCATGAAGACCGAAGCTGCGTGCTGTTTCCCTGTGGTTTATGGGATGTTGTCTTTACAGTGACGTTTCTGGAGCTTTGATGTGTGAAGAACTAGTGTCCATGCACAGCTGTCACTACCCTTGTCTGTAAGCATCCCGCAGGCCACTGTGATTACCCAGTTGCTGTGTGTCCCATAGCCTTTTCCTTGAAATGTCCTTATCGCTCACTTCCATTGCTAAGCTGATAATGAGGTTAGTTTCTTGTCATTTTCTTCTCACACATGAAAAATCACCTATTTGTGAACTTTGTACTGTTTTGCAACTCACTGTGCAGACAAGAGCAGCAAGGTCTGTTTGGAGTTCCATCACGGGAGCGTGACGGTCATGTACTCTTCTGCTGCTATCATGACACAAATCAGTTTTTAAAAAAAATTCCATTCTGTTGACACTGCTGAGTTTTCAGAACTCTTGTTCTGTGCCATTTCTCTTTTCCCGTGGAGGATGGTTACTTTATTTGTTCATGATTTCCTTTCATGCAGACAGCATCTTCTTTCTGGGGCTCCTCAGAGTACACTGTGCATTTTCTTGGAATGTGGCAGAAAATGCAGACAATGGTTAAACCTTGGGTTCAGTGGGTCCCGATCAGATGTACACATTCTCGTGATTATAAATAGATATACTTTGGGCTTCTGTGATGTTTCAAAACTGCAGTTACATAATTTTACAATGTAAAATGCTCTGAATTCAATTATAAAAGCAGTCATCAGCCTTTGTTTGGAGCAGCTATATTCAATATTATTATGTGACTGATAACTAAAAAGAGATAATTGAGTTTTCCCAAATGTTATGTGATGTGCAGTATATTCCCCTCTAACTTGACAAGTATTTTTCTCAGGGCAGCTTCCTCTACGGCTCCCACATTATTACCAGTGCTTCCCACATCTGGAGAGTCCAAGGTCTCTTGTAGTTTTTATTGCCAGTCATTACAAAAGCAGAATGAATCTCATCTGCAGTTTCAATGAGGAGTTCTTCTAAATAAAGCACAGCTACCCACTGAAGACATAAGAGCTTGATCCTGTCATAGCCCTTGCATTCTCTGCAACATCCAACACTGTGGGTACCAGTAACACTGCTGTTACTCTGGTGCATGGATTAGGTTAGAAGGCCAGTAAAGTCTTTTACCCCAGTGATTAGTGGATAGGAGTAGGAGATGCTGTCAACTCACAGTGTGAAATGCTAGTGCCCTGTCTAAAATGCATACTTACCTTGACACAGATTGAGGGAGACGTCAGAGCAACCACAAGACCTTACACACATCATGGTTATAAAATGCGTGAAAAGGCACAGCTTGTCCCTACACTATTACCAAAGCTTAGTTCTAAGAAATGATACCTGGTTATCGTCTGCTGAGGGTGAAGGTTGACTATGACACCCTTATTTTAGTTGGAGACAGTAAGTCTCTGTAGGGCTTAGGATATTTTCCATGACCATAGATGTTTTTCCAGCAGTAGCAAAAATTAAGAAAATGTTTCTTTCTTTTTTTTGGGGGGGGGAGTGGGGGTTAAAGGTCACCAGGTAAAATATTTCTAAAGGTGGTTTTGAGTAAGTATTTAATATTTTGAGCTATTTGTGCCATACAATGATATTGACTATTTACAGATAAAATAATCTACTTTTTGGGGGAAAAGATTTTCTTTTTTATGACAATCGTATATTTTAAAATATTTTCTGACATTAAATTTTGGGAATCTGTTGATACTGAAATTATAAATTATATTTTATACTGTTCTAAAATACATTATTTCCTGTATGCCTACTTGGAAATGTGTAAATGTAGTCATGTGTTGACCAAAACTAAATTAGTTTGGAATTTTTTTTTTTTTTTTTTTTTTTTTTTTTTTTTGTCTTTTTGAGACAGGGTCTCACTGTGCAGTTCAGGCTGACCTTGAGCTCACTTCGTAGCCCAGGCTGGCCTCAGACTTGCAAAGATCCTCTTGCCTCAGCCTCCCAAGTGCTGTGATTACAAGGGTCCGCCACTACGCCCGGCTAAGACTCGAACTTACGACCTTGTGCTTGCCAGGCAGGCACTTATGCCAGTGAGCTGTCTCCTTGGCCCTTAATATTTCTTACATTTAAAATATGCTTCCTTAAGTAATTTTTTTCATGAAAAAAGGGATGAATATTTTGTCATCAGAAAGGTTTAGAGTTTTAATAATTTAGACTCTTCAATATTATTTGTATAAATAAAATGAATAACATTGTAGTTATTTGGGCCATTATGTATTAAACATAGTTTTGGTATTTTTTTTTTTCTTATTTTGTGCAAGGCATAACCTCTAAATTGTCATAAGCCATTTCAGTTATAAAATGGAGGTTTACCTGGGATACACTTTGTCTTTTATTCCTTCATTCAATAAGTTTCATAACAGAAGTTTCTAAACAGTAGTGTGAATAAGTAGGTAGAAGAACTATCATCCTATAGTCTGTAGGTAGTTATGTCTTTTAGGACTATTATCTTCTAGATATACTTTGAAGGCCGTATCAGAGCTGTTAGAAATACACTGAAATGCACTAGTTTCAAACATTTGGAGGCTTCATGCAACAATCTGCATTTTGACCCATCCTCCAAGTGATTCTAATGGAGGTGAATCACGGATCCTTATTTTGAAGTCTCCGGAGGCCATGACTAAGCACTAGGGCTGAAGACTGATGTGACTTCAGAAACCCAGGCTCAACCAATGGGAGCAGGGATGGAAAAGAGATTTCTGTTACAGGTAGATAAGTGCTACCTGGCTGTAAGATAACGTGGAGAAGAATTAGAGTTGATAGTAGGGTTTTTTTTAATTTTACAATGTAGCTGGTTTTTAAAATACATCTTGTTGTGCTTGAAGAATTTGTTACCTTAATGAAATAGGCTTCTTGATGGACAATCTATGGATTAATCCATATGATGTTTTCTCATAGTTTATGTGCAGTATTTGATGTTTTCCAATGATACAAGTAAGTACTGGCTGTTTACTTACCCTTGTTAGGCATTTTATCTTCTTCTAGTTTTGCAGGTGTGGATCCTCTGGACCAGCGGTTACCTAAGAGCACATTTGCTTTTAGTAGAATGGAATTGTCACGTATGATGAGAAAAGTGGCCTCTCTCAATGACAGCAATTCAATGGATGCTATCATTTTGATTGCAGAAAAGCTACGCCTATAAAGATGCCACATGAATTCTCCTTGCATAGATCTTCTCTTAATGAGCATCCCTTCATGTAGAGGGTAGGTACTGAACCTGTTTTATGCTTTATCATCTTATGTGTCACTGGTATATATGTGGGAAATAACTTTCATGAATTTTGAATATTATAGGTCTAATGAATAAAGTTAGCCTTGGAAGAGTGGTCTCTCTAAAAGTTAGAATTTCTACCCCCGTGTGGCTCAGATGGGTTGTTAAATACATAATTTGATTTGTTTTAATGGCTTTCTAGAGAAGAGTAAACAGAAATATAAAAATGAAATAAACAAAAGAGTGTTTCCCATAAAACAAATCTCTGTTCCCTGCAGTGGCAGGAAATAAAGTGGAGGACGAGGAAATAAAATCCTCTAAGGGGAAGGAGTAGTAAAGAATTGTGAGTGGCTTAGCCATGGGAGAAGGATGCGGGGACACCGTAGCTGTCTCCTGTGGGGTGCTCCCTCCTGGGTGTTCCTCCCTGGCTGACTGTCTTCTCTCTCTCCCACTCTCCCCTCTCTTTGGTGACTCTGCCATTCCTGTGGCTTAAACATCCTCGTCTTAATGGTCCCCAAATTCCAATCTCCTGTTCAACCTCTTCTCAGGGCTCCAAACTGAGACATCCAGCTTCTTTCTTGAGGTCCTTGCTTGGTGTCTCGAAACTTCCATGTCCAGGATGAAGCCTTTGCTTTTTCTTGATAGTCTCATCTTCCTCAGTGTTCTCTGACAGGGAGCAGCATCAAAATTCACCTCACTCTTCCTTCGCCTGCCTCACTGAATTCACCAGCAGGTCCTTTTCATTGTGTCTCCAACAATACCTCCTGGTACTGCTGTGTCTTTCCAGTCTGTCTGTCACCTCTTAATCCACACTGTACCTCACTTGGGTTACTGCACCAGCCTGTGTGGTCTCCCCTCTGCCCCTGCCCTCCCCCAGTGCAGGCTGCATAGTGGTCAGAGCACTGTGGAAATACCCAGGGAAGGAAAATGTGAGTGTGTCCTGCTTTCCTTCTCGGGAGACGCCTGATAGTAAGCCCTTCTTGTCATTAAAGGGCAGGGTATTAGGGTTTGGGTGATTCACCTTCTGCTGCCAAAGGACTCAAGGAGTCTTTCTCAAGTATGAGAGATGGAAGGGAGGAGGAGGCAGAAAGGAGGGAGGCTATAAAGTGTGTGTGTGTGTGTGTGTGTGTGTGTTGGGGAAGGGAAGAGAGAGTGATGTCTCTCAACACCTAAACAGAAGGATTGTGCCTTACTTCCCCATAGATACTCTGTTGCAAGATGGAGTGTTTAGAGGTGAGGAACAAAAGCCTTCTGAAGATTCCTGGTCTCAGCAGTCGGACGCACCCAGAAGAGTGTTTGATCGCTGTGTCCCTCAGGATCTCCAGAGCAGTGGAAGCCATGGGACGACTATGTCTGGATGGAATGCTTGAGAAGGAATCTTCTTTACCAATAAACTTTAGATAAAATATGTAATTTTGGGAAAATTTACTAAAATTGGTTAAACAAGAGTAGAACAGTTGAATAGTTCAAAAGCCATGCAGGAATTCCCCCTGTCTCCCAAAGGATGTTTTGCCCAGATTTGTTAGAAAAGGTGAATATTTTTGTTTTGGAAAAA